GCATAATAGAGAACAGTCTCCGTTCTTTTTATCTGAGATTGGGGTTCGTCAAGGGGAAAATTTAAGCCCTGTTCTTTTTTCACTTTACCTTAATGATTTACAGACATACCTCGAAACAAATGGTGCCACCGGAGTATTGCTAAATGACCCTATTACTGATGAAACCTGGCTTAAAATGTTGCTTTTGCTATATGCAGACGATACGGTCATCGTCTCGAATAACCAAGTTGATTTTCAAAGGAATCTAAACTACTTTCATGATTATTGTAATACATGGAAATTAGAGGTAAATAAAAATAAAACTAAAATTATTGTCTTTGGTGCTAGAAATATTTCAAATTATCACTTCACTTTTGGTAATGAACCAATAGAAATAACGGATAATTACCATTACTTGGGAGTAACATTCGCCAGCAATGGATCTTTTTTGAAAGCCAGAAAGCATGTAGCCCAACAGGCTAGTAAAGCCATGCACCTCCTATTTACTAAATCTCAGAATGCAGACTTACCTGTTGACCTGACAATTAAACTTTATCAACATACTGTTCTCCCTATCTTAACTTATGGATCCGAAATTTTCGGCTATGAAAATTTGAACATACTTGAAAAAATAAACAATGATTTTCTAAGAAGAATAACCAATGCGCGTAAGAGCACTCCACTTTACATGCTTTACGGTGAAACAGGCACACTTCCCGTATCAATAATTGTTAAAACTAATATGATCTCGTTTTGGACTAGATTGTTACTGGGAAAAGAGCACAAAATTTCTCTATTACTTTACAATTACATGTCAAGTTTAAACGAATATAATTTTAAATGGATCTCAAAAATTAAAGAAATTCTAAATTCGGTGGGAAGACCAGATATATGGCTATCCCAGCAACTCGCTGTTAATAAAAGTACCCATAAAGTAATTAAACTGACGTTAATAGATCAATTCAAACAAACCTGGCACGACCAAATGCAGCTTTTCAAACAAAGGTATGTTATACAATAGCTTTAAACACAATGTGGAATATGAAAAATACTTTAACGTGCTGACTAGAACAGACTATTTAACTTTTTTTAAATTCCGAACAAGTAACCATCGACTTCCAGTCGAAACAGGCCGTTACGACGGAACACGGTATGAAGATCGCACGTGCCCTCTATGTAATTCAAATTCTGTCGGTAACGAACAACATTATATGTTGTACTGCGAGTATTTTAGCGACAAAAGAAATACCTATCTAGGAAATTACTATTTTAGATATAATGAGCACTCTTTTATTAACTTTATGCAGACAACAGATGAAGAAAAATTATCGAATCTATGCAAATTTATAAGAGCTATATTTAGTAAATTCCAAATATAAAAAAGCCATGCCGCCTTATTTGCAAATAAGTTAAGTACTAGTTCTTACCTTAACATGGTAACATCCATCTGTACACAATTTTTGACCTATAACACATTTTTTCATGCCATCTTTAGCTGTAACTTTGCTGTCTATGTTTAGAATTGAAAACACACTTTCTCCTTTTTTTTCGTGCTGTTTTTTTATAATTGACCGAACTACATAAATCATTAATATTCCGCGAAAGAAATAGATTTGGTAAATCATATGATTTATACCTTTATCTTATTTTATTATGTCTTTTTAAATACAAGAATAAGCAGTTTATTTCCTACCAGCATTTCACATTACCAACAACTATGTCTATAATTCAAGATATGATTCGAATTCTTTTTTTCAATATTATAAACATGTACATGAATTTATGTCAATTTCATTTTGACAGGTGATCTGCTCCAATGTCTAAATTTAGAATGACATGTGAAATTGACGCTTTACACTGTTTATTTACTATTTCAGTACATATGTACTTATTGTAATGTAAACATGCGGGTATGAAGTTCTATTATTGGCGTCCGCGCCGAAGCGCGGCGCTCTTATGGAATGAGATCAGATTTTGTGAAAGGGCGACAGCAACTTCTCGAGCCTTTTAGTCGGTCATAATAAAAGCCGAAAATTCCGATCGGTATGAGGGTGCTTGATTATTAAATAAGAATGAAATGTCGTGATATGTTACAACAATGAATTTTCGCAATGCAAACATTTACAAATGAAATAATAACCTTTTCCGTCAATAAATCGCGCTCTTCGGGGTTTTTTATTTATCATTTTGTAGTACACAGTCGGTTATCATGTCATGGTATGTTATTGTTGTACATGTATCCTAGAATGATCAGTTGATGACCTAAATATTCCAAAAACCTATTTATAGATATATCTTTTTATCACTCCTATCGGTAAATGCCGGTCTCTCCCGGTCTATTTTGACCAGGATTTACTAGTGACCGGCGAATAGTACCACACGTTTATTGTCCGGTCTCTCCCCGGTTTTGGAGTAGATGTTTGATATCGTTACAATTAGAAAAAAAAACAACAATAGCATGTTTCATTTTATCTATATGAGATAAAAACAATAAATATGTACACGGATTTATATGTAATATAAATCCGTGATATGTACAATAATTGAGAAAAAGGTACATTTTTTTATGGTATTAAAATGACATTATCAACTTTGAAACATTTTATTTAATTATTCAATTTGTTATCCGTGTTTAGTATAGATGCCGAGGAATTATTCAAAAATACAAATTAGATTTTATGAATTATTCATTTGTTTGATAATTTAAAAAATGATAAAGAAGAATACAAAGAATACAAATGTACATGGTTTAAGAATAAACAATATTATATATATTGAAAGATTAACCATAATTTACTGACTTTTTCCAGTTAAGTTTTGTCTTGTAATCGTCGGTCAATATGACAATTGAATTCTTAAAATTTATTTTACAATTTTAATAAAAAAGAGTAATAAAAACTCAGTATTAAAATAGCACATAAAACACAAAAAAGAATAAAAGAAAACAATATTCATAAAATTTGTATTTTTTTTAATTAAAATTAATAGATATTACAATTATTGTATAATAAACAATTATGCTCAACATGATCAACATGGTAATATAACCAGTGTCATATTTTTACTAACTTAAAGTGTGAACAGATACCTTAAGCTAATAGCGATAACATGTACATAATAAGGGACAAATGTGTGGTACGTGTTGATCATGCGTTACACATATGGATTATAAATGATTGCATACATGTATATCCGTTGCTATTAATAACCACGATCATATAAAGAAATAATCTAATCTCTAGCATGCCAATCAAAGTTCATAATGAACAATGTCTTTCGTCCGCTCATTCATAAGTGGTATACATTTCTGGTAGTTTATAAGAATATCTTGTCATCATATGTGTACTAGTTCATCTTCACTTGCTGCATTTCTTGCTTGGACGCCCTTTGATGCTTTGCATCAATGCTTTTCTTGTGTATTTATGGAGTGAATTCCCCCATGATATATGATATATGATACTGAATGCATAAATAATTGTTTTTCTATTTTATTTCCCCCCCCCCTTTTTTTTTTATTGCTGATCTCTACCGGAACCATATATTGCTTAATTTGTGTTATTTGCATACATCCTCATGTTGTATTTGTAATACCTTGAGTGAAAATAAAGTTTTCTGTCTGTCTGTCTGTCTGTCTATCTGACATCGTTCAGCGTGCACGGGGTTCACGTGCAAAAAGTTAAATTTTACTCTTACCTGCATTCTACTGACAATACGCGGTCAATACAAAACCATGCATAGTGTATCAGCCATTACTCCTTTCAATTTATGAGTTACTCAAGCCGTAAATTTTATTTTATGTCCTTTATTATGTAAATGTATTGATTATAAATAAATATTGTTTAAACTAATTTATGAGTTACATCGCACAAACGATCAATAACTAACATGACCCGAGGAAATTTCTATATATATCAATTGATAATTACTTCACATATCAATTGATAATTACCTCACACGTTCAATTCATAATGAGAGTGGGACAGTCTTTTCATATATACATTGTAAGTTAGATTCATATTTTACCCTCGACATTTCCCAATATCAACAATTGGTAATTAACCTTTTTATCGTGTCATTACATTGATATATGTTGATAAAGTGCGTGATTGACAAAAGCTTTATCGGTCACCCAGCCCCCAATATTTATCCGACACCTCGTTAATACATTTTAGGTCTCTTTTACATTTGACTAAAAACATTACTGCAGACGGCTTGTATTTGAGAGGTTCTTGACATATTTTTGTTTCATTTAAAATTTAAAGAAACGCATATTAAATTGCAAACATGATAAATAGAATGCCAAACATTTCTTAGTTTTTTTCATGCCACTTCTTTTGTCTTAAAGAATACAACCATCGTAACCATTATACCCATTGTCATTTATACTTTTCATGACTGATATTATTGAAAATTTAGATTTTAATGTATTAGCTAGACTATTAAAATTGAGTTTTAATTCATCTAGTGTTATAGCTATAGAGAAGAGACCGAATAAAAATCTCGAAAATTTCTGGTACACTCAGTAGATTATGTTCAGTGTTGTTGATATTACTGATGACTGTAATTAATTGATATAAATTTCAAAATTTCAGTATATTTTTGCATATTAATAAAGAATATATAAATGTGTACCGAACGCGTTTAAGTGTAATTAATGTACACCATTGGTTTCATTTATAAATATACCTTGCAATATTCATTGATTAAATGCTCCGAAATAACGTATGCAAAATAAAAGCAGTTTAACATCGTCCGATTATCATTTTAAGATAGTTCTTGTTGATAATCAGCGAGGTGTTCAGGGTCAGTAGCGTTACTTGGATTAAGCGGCGTTCAATATATATATTCGGCCTTTTCCGTCAACCTTCGGATAAGGACTAATCGGAACGATTGTCTATTCTGGTTCCCTGTCCTAGTATGTGTACGCAGGGGACCAGTCTACTTTATTCTCGATTGAAAATGCCGAGAGGATTTCCAACTTATATTTTTATATATTTACAGGTCAATGTATTGCGCTATAAATGAGGTAGGTGTTTATAATCTTAATTCTGATATTTTCTTAGAGCTTTCATTCAATCAGTTGGTTACATATTAGTATATAATGTAAAGCATAACATAACTCTTAACTTATACATATGTATATATATAATGTAGTATATTTTAAAGGGGGTCATTATTTACATTTTTTTTTTGGTTTTTGACACAGGTTTTATTATCAATCTGGTCATATTTTTTCATCCCAGGTCCGATACTCGTGCCTGTGTGATAAACACGTAACCAGAGTCTTGTATTTTAGCTCAGCCTAGAGCTGTGACATAACGTGATTAAAACAATAAAAAGCGTGATAATTTAAATAAGTGTTATTGATTTTAATCTTATTTGTTTTACTTTATTCAAGGTGAATATGTATATAATACCTTATATTATACTTGCGTTGTTATTTGTTTACTTTTTACGTGTATCTATTTAAAGATGATACCGCATTGTCAGCCATGTTGTGCAAAGTGAAAGCAGGTCAATTTTCATATAAATTAAATACAAAACTCACAATGTTTAATGATAAACAATCTGCAATTACAATTCCAAGCCTATATGTATTAATGGCAAAGTCTATGAAGGACTAGCTAGTATACATAATAACAATAATAATATTTTCCTTGAATATTTTCACGTAACAATCTAAATGTCAATCTATAATACTGAACATTCAAAAAAGTTTTTTTTTAATTCAATCGAATCTTTTCGGCCTTTTTCCTTCAGTCTTCGATAAGGACCTCAAACACAATAGTTAGAATACATAGAACGGACACAGTAGTTCGGCCTAACTTACGCTAAGAAACGAAATTTGTAAACAAATAGTAAGTAAATGATGGGAATTGTTGACTATTAAAGTTGTTTTCTATATATCGTCTTAAATCAACATAAATTAAGTAAATTTATAGATTTAAAAGTAAACATTCCATTATTTATACACTTACTATTCTGGTTGAATAAACCGAACGTACAAAATGTATATATGCATGTTGACCAGTAATTCAAACTTGATTTTAATTATACATAAGTGGGAGTTTTTAAATTGATTATGTCAGACATACTTTAATTTTTCTATCATAATTTTATTGAAATAGACTTTACTTTACTTAAGATATCAAATATAAACATTCGTTATACATAATACATAGATTACACCCTCTGTTTTTGTTTACATCTAGAACCACTTGGTAGAAGATATAAGATAAATCTGTATTAAGTCCGAGAGTAGTTATTTGTTCTAATTGAAATTGATCTTGTATTTGTTATTCACTTTGGCGTTGCAATGACCAGTTTCTTGAAATGATATAAGTAAAACCAATAAGTAGGCAATGAAACAAACCTAAATAGGGATTAAATCAATTTTGTTTGTTTTGTAGACATTCTCATAAACGTGAAGATCGACCAAAGAGTCCGTACACGACCGACAATAAATATAATGAAAAAGACTCTAGGCATGCGGTTAATTCGTACATGTCTTACTCTTCATAGAGTAAAATGCTACATGGACAATCAATTTAAATGTCTCTTAAGAAATTATATATTTCTTTCAAACAGTGAGAACAAAAAGAACCCTAGGCTAGCGTTTGCTTTTGAAGAAAAAACAACAACAAGGACAAAGACATTAAGGACTTTTATTAAATTAGATAGATTGTGGGTCTCGTGTATATTTAGGGGAAGTCTGTACTTTCGGTTGGATAAGAGAAAATACATTTATAAAAAAGAGAAAAGAAACAGAAAACATACGCGAATTGACATTATATTTATTTGAACTGCGTAGTTGCAACTACATTATCTGTGAGCAGGTCAAAAGGAAATTGCACTTGAATACTTGTTTTTGCATATTTACTGTAATTGAATGTTTTCCCGTTTCATAAGTATCACTGGCTATGATTAAATTAATAAAAGAATTTTATACCAGGACTTTATAAATACTAGAACTTTATGTAAGTTTGCACTTTTCATACGAAAGTGGTTAATCACCTTTGGCATAACGTTCTTTGAATTTCAACCAGAAAGGCTCAGGAACAGAAATGAAAATTCGTATTTATCTGTGAATCGGAATAGGTCTGTCTAATCTTTGTTAAAGATACTATTGGTTAAAAGTACGATATGTATATTGACATGCCCAATCAAGTGCTTATAGTAAAACGTATTGATAAGTAAAGTATTAAACGTATCATTCATTATTCTTTTATTGATGTTGTTAAACTTCTAATAGACCTCATATAAAATGATTCTTCTCATAAGCAAGTAGAGGAAACATCAATGAACTGCGTATGTTATTCTAAAACAGTTCTCTCTTATGTTTTGCTCAGATAAATTTAGTGACCCCATTTTAATTTCAAACTCTACTTTTGATATATTGACTTTAGCCTATTTTACATTAAATGATTGTATCTTTAAGAAGAGATTTACTGCAGCCAGCAATATTTGTGTAACGTTGTCATTCTTAACATTCTCGAATAGAAGTTTTTTCTGATTTTGTACGTGACATGTAGTCACAAAACCTTTGAATGAATACGAATACGTGAACGAGTCAATACCTTATCATTTAACCCTACAAATTATTTTCTCGGACAAACTTAGAGGTATCTGGGCGTAAAACATAAATATCTTTCAATTATTGCTTCTCATAAACCAAATTGTAACCAAAATAAAGGCAAAATTGATATACATGTAATTAAGTTTCGAACAATTGTGCAGTCAAAATTAAGTATAGAAGCTCACTTTTTCTTCATATTGCACTTTCTTGCTTTTACATCTAATGGGAAATCATCATTTACAACAATAAGACATATTTTGCCATTGACACCTTCTTGTTAATTTACCGTATTTGTCCCTTCTCAGCGGAGCTTTTGTTGAGTAAGTATGTATGTAAATTGGCATAACTTACTGCCTCTTATTTTCTTTAAAGTAGTGTCGTTATCAACTTGTATGAACGATTAACAAGATATTCTCGCAAAGAAACTAAACAATAAAACACATACAAAGATAACACTGCCTTTTATGTCAAATAGTTTAAGCTGCATGATTTCTGACTGATCATAAAGAGAAAAATAAATATTTTTAATTCACGCATACTTGTTCATCATGTGTAAAATCCTGTTTTGATTTCTTAATATTTTAGTGAATCTGAATTAGAGTCGTCTACAAGTTCATCCAGCTCTGGTTCGTCTTTACGACCTTGGATGGCGGCATACGATGATGGCGATGATGATGAAGACGACGAGGAGGAAAACGAAATAGATGCTATGGCTCTAGCCTTAACACCAACTCAGATAGAGCCCCATCAGCAAAGTATTAAGCCTAATTGATAAGTTTTTTAGATTGATGTGTAGACTTTTAATTAACTGGACGCTTTTAAGATTATTACCACTGTTGTTGGCAAGGATTTGTTCATATAAATTCATTTGCAAGGCAAACACCTTATGTGAACTTGTAAAGTCGTAATGTAAGGACCAGTAAATTCATTTGTGAATGTGTAAACGTTCTTGAAATACTTTTTAAAGCTGTTAACACTATACATACATGTTCTGCATTATGCAAGGATCATCATATATATTGAGGTTAATTTCAATTTTGTTTTTAGGAAGTGTAAGGTCGATTATAGAACAGGCAAATCAGTGCACGGTGTACGAGGGATCTCATGTAGTAAATTCTTACAATCAAATTAACCCAGATGTTCATAATCAGTTTATCAGTAAGTTTTACTTTTAAAACGTTTTTTTCTTACATATCATTGTTGAGTTTTTCAGTTGTAATAAAATCTAGAATGTACAGGCGTTACTTAAGCATAAGTCATGTTTGTTAAAGAGAGATGAATCGAGAACATTATATGACCCCCCCCCCCCATATACTTAAAAGCAGTTTTAAAAAAAATCAGCGAGGCTTTAATAGTTTTATCCTAAATAATTCCAATAGCAGTCACTCAGGACAGACTCCTTTGAATAATAGTATCATGTATGAAAAATAACAAGCCCAACAATCGATACTTAGATCGAACTACATGGTTCCCAGAAAAGGTTCTAAAAGAAGTTTACAAGTCCACTAACTATGTGTCAAGAGGATAACATCTTTAATTTTTAAGCCAAATCATTGAAAATGCGTAGTTCTCGCTTTAACCAGAACAGTGTAGCTTACCTTAAGTTTTGTTTTGATTAAGATGAAGTTTTTAACTCTTTCTCAAATACCGAAAGGATTATAATTAAGCCTTTGAATCTAATTTAAGTGATATTGCTTATATTGTTGATTGCATTTGATGAATTTTATTTAGGGCAAGGAAAAGATTTTCTTAAAACAAAAGTACAACAACTTAAACCAGTCTATGTAGAAACAAGAGCTGCAAAAGAATGCATTGAGATCTTAGAATGTGAAAATTCTTTGGTGATAATCGCAAATCCTGGGGAAGGAAAGACAGTGACAGGAATAATGACAATGAATAAACTAGCGAGTGAAGGCTACCAACCCATTATTTTAACTTCTCCAAAAGACTGGAACAGCAAGGTTGTACTTGCTGAAAAATCAGAAAAGCTGGTTCTATTTATAGATGATATGTTTGGAACAGTTGGCGTTGATGAAAATAAAGTGAATGAATGGATAGCAATGTCTGAGGTGATAAGTTCCCTTCTTAAGAAAAGGAATGGATCTTTGAAAATGGTTTGCACAACACGAAGGAAAATATACACAGAAACAAAACACAGATTAAGGAGATTCAAATGGTTCAAAAAGTTCCGAATGGTTGACATGTCAGATGATACTTTTATGCTAAGTGAGAGTGAGAAGACAGAAATTCTCCAAAAATATTTCAAATTTTACAAGATTCCAGACAAAAAACAATGTCTTGTTGCTGCTAAATCAAGTCCTCCTCATGGTTTTCCGCACTGTGTTGAGCTGTATTGTACAGAGCCGCATTGCTTACGAATGGGCATTTCATTCTTCACATGTCCGTTATCTGCAGTGGAAAGAGAAATACAAATACTATACGAAACTGAGTCAACTCAGTACTACGCACTACTCCTTATCCACCTCTCACCAGGACAAATGATAACTGTTGATATTATGTCAGGATCGAAGGACTTTGACAAAATCTTGCTGAACAAAACCCGTCAGTTGGCAAAACTTCCAACGAAGGACGGTATGGATATTATTCGTGCTATTGAAAAAATGACGGGCATTTTTTTAAGAGAGGAGGATGACGGCTCTGTTGGATTTAGTCATGACACGGTTAGTGAAATGGTTGGTGTTATAGCAACAAGAAATAGCCCAATACCAGCTGTAAACCTCTTAAGTATGCAATTCTTATCCGAGAAAACAAAGTATATCTCGTATAAGGAGGATGACAAAAATGAAGTTGCAGTGTTACCCAAAAAATGCACTCTTGCGCTGGTGACAAGAATAACGGTATGTCTACTTGGTGGTGAAGCTTTTAGTGCATGTAAAAATCATGCATGGGACAATTTTGACTTTGTGCATACATGGTTAGATTATGTCAGCAAGAAGGAATCGGACAAGGTAGAAGGGAATAATCTCCTAGACGATGTGATGACAACTTCATTGGAAGTCTATCAGGTCATGCAAAGGAACTCTCGGCCAACAGAAGTACATGTAGGGCTGATGTTTCTTTTGTATCTTAACAAAAAAGAGATGGCTAGAGAAGAAATACTAAAGTTTTTCAGTAAACAGGTTTTGGAAGAAAATGAAAGGCTGTCCAAATTTAAAAAGGAGCACAGATGTCCGTCAGGCAGGAAACTTAAACATCCGTATTTTCAAGAAAGGCATACAGGCACTATAAATTAGGTTGTTTTAAATGCTGATTTACATTGGTCAAAGGTCAGTTTTGTAATTTAAAGAATTGAAGCTGCCTTAGATTATGTAGATTGATATTAGGTGCTATTTTTAAGTTTCAGCATACAAAACCATTTTAGACTTTCCTATTGCATTTATATATTGCAGTACATTTAATGAGGTACATGAATGCACTGTGAACAATTAAGTTGTTTTAATTGTCATATTGAAAACAGACTAAGTTATGATATAGCTGTTGATTTGTAAGTATTAATCATTATAAACAGTGAGCTTAAATTTTAGTTTTAGTGGATTGTATACAACCTCATATGCATTGTATATATTTCCTTGTGATAAATAGCAGTCTTAATCATGATATCACAATTAATCATCAGTTGTAAATATTGAAAATAACTGAAACATTGGATAAGAAATAAAAATAAAACTTCCTGTTTATGAAAATATAAGTATAAATTATACGAAATTGGACTGATGTAAGCAAATTATAATTTTAAGAAATGATGTAATTTTTTTATATGTACATTGCACGGAAAGTTACTTATACACGAATCAGCTATCTGGAATGAAACAATATTTGTTTTTATTTTTTTTATTGGTGTACTATCTCCACGTTTTACAAAACATTTAGTATATCTGGGACTGAAGTGGCATGTTACCTAATAACATATTCCATTATTTATATTTTAATGGTGCTTTTAAATTTGTTCACCACGATAATGATGTATTATATATGTATTAATTCGTATTTTAAAAAAGGAAGTTTCGACTGAATAGGGCCGGAATGAATAGGACCCGAGGCGGGTCCAAGTAAACTGTCAATTAAAAGGGCTTCTTAAAGCTGCACGCCTCCAGATGAGCCAAAATATTTCAAAAAATCAATATTGAGAAAAATGTACTTACGTTTTAAGAAAAGTAAGACATTCAAGATTTGAGTTTAATTTTACGTGTTATGTGTGGTTAAGATTGATTTTGCGGCATTTTATCATCATATTGCTACTGCGTTACTAACGCAGTAAGGGCTGTTTTTGCATATGTTTACCACTATTTGGTAATTTTCTTGGATTGTAAGTGCCGATTGCAATATGTTTATTTGTTCACCTCACAATATTTTACTTTTAAATACATTTCTAAAACTTTTATGAAAATTGACATGAATCTGGAGGCATGCTGCTTTAAGTAGTATCTTTTTGTATGAAAATTATATTAGTTTACATAGTCTATACGATATAGATCTAAATATAATTTATTAGATCTTTCATTTTATTTTTTGCTACTGCTTTTGCTTTGTTTATTATTATTAGTACTTTTTTGTTTTGTTTGTTTTTTTTTTGTTGCCGTTGTAAATTGCTATCTAGATTACAGTAGTAAATAGATGGACGCACAAAAAATATGAATGGTATCTCTCGTTATTGCATACATTTGTCCAAAAAGAGCAAAGTTGTCTCTTATTTAGGCGGTGTACGTGCTCCTGTAAATAACACTAAATATCTTTGTTTGTAAAAATATAAACATGCAGAAGAAAAAATGCGCAATTTAATTTTAACCACGCTATCGTAATCAAGACTAACGAACATATTAATAGCACTTTTTGACGTGGACTTAACAACCAAACATTCGATAGTTTCATTAACTTATTTAACAGTATTTTGAATTTAATCAAATATTTAGAAATGATTATTTTTAAATGGAAACCCCAAGGTAATTCTAAAGTTTGAATACGAATTTTTACGTGTAAAGGAACACAATTAGTAGCTCGTGTATTTGCACGGGGAAAGAAATGTAACAAGTGTTAACCTTTTTTTTAAAATCAATAATTGTCTGGAACATGGCAAATGCGGGATTTCTTCCCAAGGTTATAAAACATTTTTTCTGAGTTCTTTTTCAAATCTCAGGAATTTCATTGGTCAGTGTACATTCTGTTGCAGTTTCTGACCAATCAAATAACTGAAATCTGAGTTTGAGTCTAGAGAATTTCTTTATTGCCTCAAACCCAGGTGTGCAAACAAACTTACCGTTACAGTGTCACTGTTCACTAGCCTGTCGTTTACAAAAGAGTAGTCATCTAGTAAATGAAGATAAGATTCATTATATCATGTGGAAATATACCGTTAACTTCAGCCATGTGTGTTGATATTCGGGTGACCTAAAGGTGAAGTGTCTGGAACGGGAGTTGATATTTAACCCTTTAAGGGTCCGTTTCCAGGGAACGTAAAGTTTGTGAATTTATGCTTGAATTGTAGCCACAGCAGCTTTTCCAAGCTTTTTTCATCTCGAAAAATAATGCTATTGCCTCTAACTTTTATTTAATTTACAGCAACCCAGATTAAAAACAAATACGTTCCAAGATGTTACGTTAGAATCAATTGATTAAGCGAGACTTACCTTTGGAAAAGAGAAGGCGAAGGTTGATCATAATTTTATCTGACACAAACTCCCGTAGGGCTCACACATATTACGGACGTAGCTAGCAGCGACTTGGGTTTATTTATCCTTTAAAGACATAATGTCATAATATTGATAAGAAATTGAAAAGTACGGGATGGCTGTGGGTGGGTGTGTGAGCCCTAAGGGAGTTTTGTCTCGGATAGAATTATGATCAACCTACGCCTTCCCTTTTCCAAAGGTAAGTCTTGCTTAATCAATCAATTTTATCCAACACATAAACCACCTTATGGACCCCACAGATTATTCAGAGTATATTTCCTGTCATATATTGTGAACAAAACATAATATAACGCCTTTTCTGGAATATTTTGTTAGTCGGTAGTAATATCTTTATGACAATCCAAAATATAAAAACATGTTTGAATGTAATAAGTCTATTGGTTAATCCGAACAGTAGCTCGTTCTGAAATGCATTTGCCTCCCTGTTTACCAATGGCTTATTATAAAATTTTGCTAATTGATACATTACTCCATCCTGCATATTTTATATAATATCTGTCAATATCATTCCTTTTCGAAATGCACAGGAAGACGAAGCAGCTCTAATTTTGAATACCTGCTCTAAGCATTGTAAGTTTTATCCACCGTGACAGAGTTTATTTATAGACGGATTTATAATGTGGAATCGTAGATATCAATAATCTCTCACTATTTCTCAACGTTTTTGTATGTCCTATGTATTGTCTGACAGTTTAAACGATGCATAATTTTTTTATTTTTGTACATTTAAAGTTTCATTGGTTCAATATGTACACCTTGCCGTGTTTGTTTAATAACATGCGAAAACGTTGATAACAACACAGTTTTCAGTGGAGAAAATATCACTCAACTTTATTACATGTAGAGTTTCAATTAATCAGAACCAAAACTTCGTTTTTTTTAAGAAAATTCACTATATGTATTTTGCGAGACGTACAGTTTTTTCATGTCGAAGGTCGTCAAGATATCCCTGTAGCTATGGACCATTGGCTTTTATACAGAAGTATTCTATGTGAAAGGTTCAAACTCGCTGGCGTACTTAAGAACAATGTACACCTACTGTGTTCTAGTTTGGAAATTAATTGTGTATTTTTAAATTTTGAAATTAATTCTGTGTTTTAACGAGTATGACTTTTCACATTTATTAATTTAATAATTCATTCTGAAGTTGTGAGTTGTGACATTTTATATACAAAAATAAAACTACTTCGTTTATGATTTACGTTAACTCTGAAGCAGGAATAATTGCTTATCTAGAGCAATCATAAGCGAACGTGGCCTGAATCTTCACATACAGTCAAACGGTTCTTTGTTTCCTTACAGCCTATAGAGTATTGTTTTTTCGATATGTTTACAAAAATATAATAAGACAACATTATACCTTTGTTGACACATAAACTTGCTCGGGAGTAGCGATAGAGCAATTGACCATGTACCTACAAAAGAGATACCTCTGTTCCTAGTAAAATTCACTTAAGAAGTGGGAAGAAACTGATAGGGTCAGCCCGTACGTCTCCCTATTCATACGTTCTTACGTCACTCTCTTCAGTTTCCGAAAAGATGTGGTAAGGAGGTTAGTCATAACTAGTGGATAAACACTATTGAGTTTTAGGTTAGTAGTTCGAAGACCAAGGTTGACGTGGTAATGGCAAATGAGATGTTGTCCAACCAATAACAAGATGACGTTTGCCCTTATGTCCACAAGAAAAATAATAGAGGTTAGTCATGACTGATAGATGATCCCTGTTAAACTTGAAAAATAATAAAGCTAAGTTTAGGGACATTGTCTTTGACCAGTAGAGGCATTTAACTGAATTTGAAGTCATATGATCAAAGGTCAAGGTCACATCAACACTATTTAAATTATTTATCTTATCAACAACTTGAGAGAAAAATAAGCCATGATAGTTTATGAAAATTTGTAATGACATTGCCCATGGCCTTTAAAATCACTGTCGATCCACCTAATGCATTACCTCCACTTTGAAGAGTATTCAAATAGGCTAGAACTACTGTCAAGTGCATTGTAACTGAGGGGCGTGGGTTCAAGCCCCAGAAGTGGCAACTATTTTTTCTTTCTTTTTTTTTCTTTGAACATTATTTGTGTCTCTCATATCACTCTTGAGAAGAAAAAGGTGTTTCATTTTAATTATGAAATTATTATTGGTATTTATTGGCAAAATTGTTCCAATTTTTTTAACAAATATGGTACCTGATATTTTCAAAGTCTTATCAAATAAAAACTAGACGGTAAAAGTATTTTATATTTTACAAGCGCAACCAATATACTTTTAGAAAATCTATGCAAACTTTGAAAACAGCCCCTGATTTGAGTAAATTTTAGGGATATTTTGAATAAGGCTCTCCAAGTAGAAAAAATATCAAACAAGTACTTACAATGGGCGGGGTAGGGTAACATTTATATACATATTTCAAACATTTTGAGTAGAAACAATAATTTTGCTGGGTCATTTGTTAGCTGAATGCTATTATTTGTTTCTCAAAAATGTTCTATAGGAAACATTTTTTCATAATGATTATAAAATAGAATATTTAGAGTTTCTCATTTCTGAAAAAGAGCCTTTCTTATAGCCAAGTTTTACTTAAGAAAAATCTCCATAACTCGTAAACCATACGGTAAACTTTGTTTAAATTTTGCATTCTTGTCTTTTAAGGTATATAACTGACCTATGTTGTCAATTTTATAGTTCCTTATAGTGCCCATTAGGGGGCTCATACCTTAAGGTCATAAGGTAAAGGCCACAGTGACTCAAGACATACTTGTCTCATCAAGGACAAGTGTTTCCTTAGTCATAAGTTTGTAAAATGTATTTTTTAATAATATTGAATATTCCATTGTCTGTGTGACAGCGACGAAAAGGGGCAAAGGTGTCAAAGGGACTTATCTCTTGTTATATACCAGGCACTGAATATTTTATGTTCATAAAATCACATGTTGATATAGAACAAGAAAAATTAAGTGAATATAAGAAAATTAATATTAACATCTAAGATATGATATTATAATTATACCGACCAAAATAAGTATTTTAGGTTCCACATTATTAAGACAAGAATGACATTTCTATTTATAATTGTCTCCCCGATATTGAAGGGTCAGGATGAGATGCTCCATTTTCTCTTGTAAACAATGGTCATATATATATATAAATATGTCGAGTACATCGAATGTGCTATGTATTTTTACCATTGTGTGCTTCTAGCTTCAATTTAATCGTCCATGGACTGCTAGTGGCGTGGGTTCAAACTCCGCCAAGGACAATAGAATCTTTACACTCATTGCTTAGTACTGGTTGGTTCCAGGCAAATTCGAGTGTTTCAATAAGCTTATAGTTTTCGACATAATCAAACTTAAATAATTCGCATGAACTTATAAATTAACTAACTACATTTCGCTAGTTTTCTTTCGATTGACCTCTTACTGTTTCTATAAATAAAAATATTTTTATTGTGAACTTATTGATTGATCATCTATAATTTGGTCATATGGTCCACTAAAAGTTTTGATCGGGTTAGAATTTTTTTTAATGACTTGTTCTAATTAGTTGTCATTATTGGAGTAGCGAATATGTAAGAAGCACGATATGAAGTGATGTTAATTGTATTTCAGTAACATTTCTTGTAACGACATTGTTAGAATATTGCACGACAGTGAAGTAAAAAAAAGAAAGATAACCATTTCACAGTATGTTCGAATATTGTCGCATGTTACTCTCCCTGCGTTTTCTGAATGATCACAATTATTATAAATATTTCAAATAATATTCTGTGCATTTTTTTAATCGTTACATTTTCGTAATTTACAAATTTGCGATGAACGTGATATTGATGAGGAAAATAAAGATGAATTCGTTCATGCCAAAAACTGGTCCGTTTTTTTGTCTGCATAGATGTCTAACTGGTACCTGGTCGTCAATAATAGGTCGAATGTAATGCAGCTTTAAAACATAATACATTATAATGTATTTCAAAACATTTAAGCTTAACAATCATGAAATAAATGGCATGGCACGCTAAATCAATTAATATTTACATATACATCTATTAATATCTTAATAGACTACGTTGACCGATACAAATACCTCGGCTTGATGTTAAATGAAACAATGGACTACTCACAAATAGCTAAGTATGTAGCCGACGCTGCCACTCGATCGCTTGGATTACTAATAAGCAAATTCAAAGTGATGGGAGGAATGCCATATAATGTGTTCACCAAACTTTATGACAGTATGGTGTGGCCCGTAATTAGTTATGGTGCCGCGGTATGGGGCACCAGAGAGTTCTCTTCAATTAACGCTGTACATCACCGGGCATGCAGATTTTACCTAGGAGTGGGCAAGTACACGTCTAATGCAGCGGTGACGGGAGATATGGGCTGGATACCACCACAGATACGTCAATGGAAGTCAGTTATTGGCCACTGGTTCCGGCTAAATGCTATGGACAAAAGTAGACTTAACAACCATATTTTCCAGTGGTCATTTAGTTCAAGAGCCCGTATGAAAAACTGGTGTTTTAGTCTTGAAAAACTTGTAACGCGCGCAGGGCTAAATACATTAAAAACCAATGATATCTATCCAGTTGCAACAAGAAAACAAATTAATAACGAAATACAATCGTTTTTGTTTAATGAATTTAAAGCTAACTGGCAAAGATGTATAAACTCAGATACGGGAGTTAGTGGCAAAAATAGAGGTAATAAATTAAGACACTACAGAACATTTAAGAGTGAATATAAAACAGAAACATATATTAAAAGTGAAATTTTATCAAGAAGTCACAGAAGTGCTTTGGCGAAATTTAGAACTGGGGTAGCCCCTCTCAAAATAGAGACTGGTCGCTATAATAGCTTACCAATTGATCAAAGACTATGTTTTCACTGCAACACATGTATTGAAGATGAGATTCATGTATTAATCCATTGTTCTTTATATGACACAATTAGACAAGAGTTATATAGAAAAGTCACTGATCAGAATCAAGATTTTCCATTGTATAGTGAGTCAGAACAGTTTGTCTATCTATTGTCAAATGCCGATATTGTTAAATATACGGCCAGAGCCTGCTTTAATATTTTACAAGAAAGACGTAAAAAGTTGTACAATTGCATGTGATATTTGCTTAATATTTTAAAAATGAGTTTATAAAGTTTTAATATGTATATATCTATTTTCACGGTTTGACATGTTAAATAAGTATTTTATTAATAATGTCTTAATTTAATGTTTATACGAGTCGTTTAAGGTTTGTTTTAATTTCCAAGAATGAGAATATGTTTATTTTATATGGTAATGTGATATGCAATATTATCTCTTAGTCTCTCATAACTCTTTTAGAGTGGTTTTGTACATTACTTGCATTTTATCTATTTTATTGTATTTAATATGTTATATATGTACAAAAGTGAGACTTAAATAAATTATCTGTCTGTCTGTCTGTCTGTATATAAATATCAAAATATACTTTGTGAATATACATTTCATTCTTAAGCTACAGTCTCACTTACATCCCGGCAGAGCCCCGGTAGACGTCCGGGGTGATCCGGGAACGACCGGGGTACGACCGGGAACAACCGGGGTACATCCGTAACTCTGCCGGTAACGTCCTGGATGATCCGGGATGATCCGGGAACATCCGGCATTCGACCCCGGATGGAATAAAATATTTAATATCACCGGGGTGGTCCGGGATGATCCGGGAAGGTATAGCTTTGCCGGCTTCATCCTTAGCTCTGCCGGGAACGACCGGGGTTATACCGGGAAAGCACCGTAGCTCTGCCGGCACAAACCGGGGATGATCCGGGGTATGATATAGCCGGTAGAGCTACGGTAGAGCTACGGTAGAGCCCCGGTATATGCCGGCAGAGCCCCGGTAACTACAGGCAGAGCCTCGGAGGATAAAGGTAGAGCTACGGTTGATCCCGGTAGAGCCCCGGCAAAGCCCGGATCATTACTTAAGAATAACGACAATTTGCGATGATTGCACTTGTTTGTATTAAAAGCCTTCCCATTTCCCTTCTATCCAGTATGGGATAAGGATTTTTCAGAAAATCATCATGAATTACTATTCTGAAACAATAGATATCATATTAAATAAAAATTATGTATCAATGTTATCATTTTCGGGCGTTTTCAATCCACCGGGGTTCTACCGGGGCTCTGCCTGGATCGTCCTGGGCTCTGCCGGGGCTCTGCCTGGATCGACCTGGGCTCTGCCTGGGTCAACCGGGGCTCTTCCGGCGTCATCCGGGAACGACCGGGGAAGCACCGGCATGAACCGTAGCTTCACCTGGGCTCTGCCTGGATGATCCGGAGCGCATCCTGGGTGGTTAGTAGGGAACTACCGTAGTGCTGCCGGGGTAAGTGTGACCGCAACAATAATTTCATCCCGGATCGTCCCGGATCATCCTGGTAACTTACCGGGATGGTCCTGGGCTCTGCCGGGAGTAAGTGAGACCAAGGCTTTAAAGATTGAACGTTAACAACGGCAATTAAGTCTAGGCCAGTAAAAAGAACGTAAAGTCGGAAGACGCATTCTTTACGACCAAACTAAATGTTAAAATGACTTTATCCTATTATTTCATTGTCAAGTTCAGCTGAATTCACTTCTGATTATTACTATGGTATTGACCAAAAGCTGATATTGGAAAATGTTTTGGATAAAGTTTATATATGCCTGAAAAAAAAAGACTGTCCCACTATCATTATAAATTAAACGATCCAGGTAAAGTCTGATAGATATTTACCGAAATTTCTTTGGGCAATGTGAATTATTTTTCTTTCGTGCGAAGTAAATCATAAAATTCAAAGGAATTCTGGCAAAATGTCAACTTAATTTGACTTTCACCTGTTTACTCACTATATACCCTTAGTTTGACATAAAGTAACTATAATACCTAAATATCAGTTTAAGATTCAAAGCAATTTACTTCAACTCTTATCATGCTAAATACCTTAAATAACATGCCTTTCAATCGGAAATCAAAATCAAAGCCTTTCATCTTTTTTAGAGAAGTTTCAAAATATATACTGACCGAATAGCAAACAGTGCTGGCCATGATCAGATGGTACAGATGTGCCAGCTGATCTTGATCTACACTGGTCACATGGGTAGTTTCAGTGGCCACCAACAGGCTATCGATTACGCCTGTCGAGTATACTTTTCTACTCTTTGTATTTGATAGATTATATCTAAAAAATCCAAAAGCACTGTTTCTAATAAGAAATAACTTAAGAGAATAAGTAACAACAAAGAGTGGTACAGTACTGATTGTTTTCTTTTTAATGTGCAATATTAATCATTTGCACAACATAATAAAACATAATATATAAATTATGGATTTCAAGTTATTACAGAGTTGGTTTTAAAATAACACTCTCTGAGATCAAACAATTTATCATATGTAGTTACGTGTGATCTTCTGTATATTTTACAAATCAGACATTGCAAAATTTACACATATCTAACGTGAGTTTAACTTATGTTAGGTTTATTTATTAATCTTATATTTTCATTTTTTAATATGATTGGTAAACTGGATATTGCTTTAGTTTCGTCTAATACAAAATAATTAAACTAAAAGATCTACAATTATATTATCCTGCTAGTATTGTCATTGTCATTGACTCGCAAACTTTTAACAATATGTAATTCCAGTTTTGTAATAAAAACACCATATATAAAAATGTAGAATCAGTAAAATGTTAGAAAGAATCAAAGTAAAAGGACTGATATAGTATTTTTTTCTAATTAACTTAATTACATCCGGTAAGTGACAGTCTAATACAATTTGTATATTTTATTTACTAGGACCATTTAAAACATAAATTAAAGAAACATTTAAATGGCTATATCAATATAACTATTTTTTTAGTGACGTGTCCAAACAAATAATTATTTTTATATAATGACATTATCAAACGATTCATATTAAACATAATAAATAAATAATTCCAAAATAAAATTAAACTGAAGGAAAAAAGTCTCCATAAATGGTGCGTACATGATAAACATGTAAATACCCTGTTTGCCGTTTAACAAAACTGATATGAACAAAATATTATACAAATTATTTAAATTACACAATAACCTCCAAACTTACACAATATCATATATGTGATACACACACTATACAGTAACCGGTTACTGTACTGGTATTGATTCAAATATAACACACACTTTTTGTTAAAAAACTATACCGCTCGTCTCCGCAGATAATGCAACATATATGACATCAGCGTATACTCATGCCTCAGTGACAGCTAAACTTTATAATAGGAACATTGAAATTCAAGCGGTTGGATTGATGTCAGACAATGTTGAATCACTGGGTAATTCCAGACAATATCATTGATGCACTTTAAAGACTTCAAAAGAAATCATCGATTATAACGTCTGTGTAAGGGTTGGTACTAATGCAGTCATGTACTGCAGTCAATATCTTAATCACTCTTCTATCCAGAGCACGGGTGTGTTTGTCATTCAGAATAGGACTAACTCGATCCTTTGCCATGGAATCCCGCATTAACATGCTTAGTTTTTCTGGTCCCAGATAGAGTTTGACTAGCTTCATGAATGTAGAATAACGAATCATACAGCATTGAAAGACAGGTGCAAGAATGGACATCTCATCATGTCCGGACTGACCGAATCTGTAATAAAAATGTAACTTCCATTTAACGTTATAGATAACAATATGTAGCAAACAACGTATGTTAAAATACAAATATAACAAGTGACTAAAGAAAAAAAATTAGGAAGCCGCTGCTGTATTTTAATATTTTGTAGTGCTCTAGACAAAATTTGAAATAAATATACTAGTCTGCGTTTCTGAATTTGATGATTACCTTTTATATGTCACGAAAGGTTGCCCTTGACTGTTATGGGTTCAAATCTTGCAAGGGACTTTGCATTCATACATGTGAGAAAATTATCCAGCTAGCTTACGGAAGGTTGGTGACTCCTCTTGCCTGATATATAAAGCACGGAGGAGCGTCTCTGGTCTTCCTTTGCAGTTTTTTTTATATAACTTTAATAGTGTCGATGTCCCTTAATACCAAATACACAAAAAGAAAAAGAAAAAGGTAATGTGTGAACATTAATGCTTACCCACGGCCGTTATCCAAGTGAAGTAGGAATGTTTCATTACCGAAATCAGTGAAAGTTTCATAATGATGACGGTCCATATTACCTGCAACATACATACACACATATTTTATGATACTAGAACTACGTACATGCATTTAAAAAAACAACATTATTTACGTTTAGTTGGACACTTATAACTATCTGTTGAGGAAATTTAGTCTCTATCGTGGTTCAAGTTTAATGATGTAAACTGACGTTTAAACGTATATGGGCCAGTTCATCAGAGAACACATTTTATCAATTATACCCTTGTATAGACAATCATATCTTTTGTTTATCATATTCCCAACACTAATCAATGCATCGCCGATATCAATCTTCCCATAAAGTCATTAAAATGTAATGTACAAAACCAGCGTACCAGTCAGAAAATCAAAGATATGCATGTCTATGACATCAAGAAGGCGTCGCCCACTACTATATGGTTCCTTTTCTTGGACACGCCCACAGAGGTCATCATACAGCTCCCAATACGCTTTGCGGTGCTTGCTATATGACCGTTTCCAAGGATTCCGCCACGTTTTACGCGGCGCAACTCTCTCTGGAGGAAGGAATGTAGCAAGAGATGCCTCCAGCATCACCGGATGACCACATACAGCGTGGCCCGTATCACAATAATAGGAACATGTCCCGTGAAAACACACATTGTTTGCTGTAATAGAAAATAGAATAATTCTGTTTCAACATTACATGTGTCTTGTTTCATGTCATAATGCTTTTCATCTGACAAGTGCGTTGTGAAATTGATATTTTTTTCAATTATTTCTTGTTACTACTCGACACATGAAAAACTGAGAATGTTTTTCATGATCTAAACACAGTACGAACAAACCTATATACTTTAACGTATCAAATAAACAGAATACCTCTTAAAATGGCAGTGGTGTTAGTTGACTTAAATATATATGAGCACCAAGATATCTTATAATAACATCTATGTAGTTAATGCCTTTTAAGAATTCATTAAATTTGACATTTTACAGATGCAATTTGTGTCACTAAAATGTTTGAAATTGCCAAATAAGCTACGTACTAGAATATTTGAAGAAAGATCACTGAGCTAAATATATAAGATTAAGCAAAGTTGGCGAATATAACCACTTTACATTCTAACTATTTTTCTGGTATTTCAAACTGTAATTTTTGTGGGTTTTTTTAAACATAAAGATATATTCACATGTTCAAACACAAATCTCGCTAAACTATGTATTGGTTCCTGCATCTTTTAATTCAAATGATGTATTACTTTATATTCAAAGAAAACTTCATTTGTAAAAATATCAATATTTTATCACATTTTAAATTACAGCCCTATGTTCAAAAAAACGACATACCTAATTAAAATGGCTTAGATTATTCTATTCAACTGCAAATTTCTCATATAATATACGTATTTCATTATTTGTTTCATTGCGTTTAGTGACATTTAGCTGATTTTTTCATTTAACACTTTTGGAGGAACATTTAAAAAAATATCTGATATCAAATATTTTTATGACATTTAGAACGACATGGCTCAATACAAGCGGAATGCATGTTAAACATATCTTGGTAGAACTTTTAAGAAAAAAAAAGATATCATATATATATAAACTATGCATACATTACCTGGTGATATGAAAAAAGTTCTTCTTAGTTTTGGCTCTGCTAGCATTTTTATTTCACCAGTTAGATTAACCTCCCTTCCTACAGTTGGAGGGACACGGTAGAAGGCAAGAATTCTAAAACAAAATAAGTTATTTACATTTTTTTTCCGAAATAAATATCTCTCACGTTTTCCTCGGAAATGTAATGAATACATAAATTCAAAATAGACAGGTACGACTTCAAACATTTTAGTTTCAGAAAGTAATTGAACCTGGCATATTCTTCACAATTATACAGGGCATTTTGAAAAAGTCATATTATCATTTGGAAAAGAATACTATCAAAATCTTTTAAACGTCTTATGGAATCTTAGAAATGTTTTTTTATCAGTGATTAGGAGACACAATAATTATGCAGAAATAGTTTTGTTTTCGTTTTTTTTTAAGTTATTTGAATGTGAAGTTTTAATTGCTTTTTGTTGACATATTCTTCAAAACTGAGTTTCATTTACCTGTCGAGATGGAAAGCGGCTATTTCAGCATTATGTCTCTCAAAATCAACAAAATAAAAATGATCAGGTAGTGTTTCTTGATCACGTGGATATCTGAAATGTACGAAAAGTGTTTTAGTTTTGACCAAATATATATATGTGTGGTTCTAGTATTAATTCGCATGCTTGTCTTAGCCTTAATTTTACAATATGTATATGTTTCTTCTTGGGGGGATAAATAATATAAATTGCCTATTTCTCTTCCAAGAACGAAGCTCTGTTTGATAGTATTGCGTCTGAGTAATTTACATATGTTTTAGCCTAAGGTTATGCTCTGATATTTAATCAAACGTTTAATTAGTCTGCAGGAACAAGAAGTTACCACATAATAATCCTTAATGAAGTGGGTTTATTTCGAAACGGCTTGTGAATCCAGGGCATTTGATGCACAATTGCTGTTAACAATAATTCTCTAATTAAGAAAGGCCTGATAGCATGTGTTCTAGCATTTGGTAAAGCAAGTAGCAGATGGTAAGTTTAATAAGGATTAATTCATGATTTAAAGTTGCTATTTTACCAAATGATCCATATGTCTAAAGCCAGCTATTGTTTCCTTTTTCAGATAGACATTACAGTTTATGGCCTGTTGACATTATACAGTGATATTTGATCTAGCAGAAAATGATATATATTAAAAATGTTTGTCGCTCCTGTCACTGACTTAAAAAATAATTAATTCCAGCACCATTTTCATCGTGTCTTATTACGTTTTTATAAACAACAACAACAAAAATGTCTGTAAGTTGTCATTTATTTCACTGTGACATGAAATATAATTGTTCAGAAATCTGCATGTTAACTAACCTTTCACCTTTGTATAATTATTTTCACCTGGCATTTAGCTTTTCAAAATTATTCGGAATAAAGCACTTTCAATATGTTTGGGTATAAATGCTTACAAACACTTGTAGACGCTGTTAAAGCGTGTGTCTGATTTTTGGTACATTGTAAGTAGACAATAAGTTTATCTATGTTCTTGCACAATATATGCACCCAGTTACATTAGGCTGATCTGTAAATATCCCCGTTACCAATTGCCGTAGGTTTTACACGCTCTTAGTTCTTCAAATAATTAAGTTCATTAACATTAATACTTGTATATTTTCTTTGAGATGTAATCACACGATTGTAAAGTTAGATATAAGGGAAGTAAATTGAGGCAGTTGCGCTGTTAACAACTGCAGTAGCTGAAAGAACATAAACAATTGCCTGCAGCGCAGTAAACTGATTTCATGAAAAATGATAAGCCTTGTAATTCTAGATTCTTTGATGTTCGGAAACATGCAACAAGAAAAAAGCACAACGATAAAAGTTTATTTGAAAATTAGGAATTCTTTCTAGAATTCTCATGTTTGTTGTTAAACGATTTGATTTAACCCGTGTCTTTGAATCAATCAGTGTTTAAGTAAGCACAAAGTGGAGAAAGAGATCGCACTAGACGTCTGGTTAATAATATAATTATACAAATAATCTTAATCAAAGAGGTATTCAAGACAAAAAAGTAAAGTATATAATCTCGCCATAAAGAGTTACTGGAGTTTATCAGCAGAAAGTGGCGTCATCAAATGTTCAGATGTTTATGCTAAACGACATCTTTAAATAAACACTCGTTAACAAAAGAATGAAGAAAGAAAATTTGAAAAAAAGAGTTCAAATAACAACTAAAATAATTGATAAAGATTTTGTATGATAAGTTGTATTCTATGCGGTATAACAATTTTATAACTAAATGAAAATTATAGTAAATACCATGTTCCCTTACATGTTATCATTTAAATCTGAATGGAATTTCAATACATTGAATTGAAATATTAAAACAGATGTTTTTAAAATATAATATTAAAGTAACTTAAACGAATTTAGTTTCTTTTTTAAAGCGTCGGATGTTTTCCGTCTTGTCTTATCTTTTAGATGCAGCAATCATGAGTTTAAAGATTCAAAAGAACAAGATCTAACAAATTCAACATTTGTTTGTTTATAATTTAAGTAACATTTCTTAATGCTATCATTAAAAAGCACACACAAAGATGAATTATTTATTTATTTACTTTCTGATCAAAATTGGATAGACAGTTTTTCTGAAATATTTAACTTATATTCATTTGATTTGTTAATTTAAAGACAGAGCATATAAAAAGAACATACCTCATCGGTTTAAACAAGGCCTGACCTTCATCACTAAACGTTATCATGAGCTTTAATTGGGTACCACCTTCTTTCAGTTCTGTAACATACAATATACAATGGTTTAACGTGTGAACTTTAACATGAAACCAACTATTAACATGCAGATAAAATTGTCATTCTTAACTGATCTTTACGAAGTTGTGAACAAAATGTTTGTACAAGAGAGTATAATTCAACTTTATATAAGACGAAATAATGTTATTCTGTAAGAAGAACTCCATTTTATTTGTTTCTTTTTAATATAAATGTTTCGCTAATAGCTATCTCCATCAACAATATGTTGATATAGGAATTTTGATGGTGACATCAAATTTATATATATGCTATATTTCCCTAGCGATGCTAAATTGATCCCAATTGAGCCGTGTCATGACAAAACCAACATATTGCGTTCGCGACCAGCATGGTTTCAGACCAGCCTGCGCATCCGCTCAGTCTGATCAGGATCCATGCTGTTCGCTTACAAACCCTATATCAAGTAGAGAAACTGATAGCGAACAGCATGGATCCTGATCAGACTGCGCGGAGGCGCAGGCTGGTCTGGATCCATGCTGGTCGCAAACCCATTATGTTGGTTTTGTCATGGCGTGGCTCAATTGTTTTATACCTATATCAATGATTTGTTCCGTGGACATATCTTTCATTATTCCATCAACAGCAGGGTCATCAGCGTCGTATAAACCAAACTGGTGGATTCCTTTATGGAACTTTTCCCAATTTGCTAACACAGGACTGAAAGAACAACACATTTGATAGTGAACTATAGTTAGATCAGATGATAAAGTTTTATACGATAAAATATATATTTATTTATTCCATAACTGTCTGATTTTGATAATACTGCATATTATCCTTTTTCAAACAGAAACATTTATATCTGCGCAAGTGAACATTGTATCATTTAACAGTTTTAACATTTGCAAACTAATTCTTGTTACAACTACTTACATAATCATTTCAGTGTGTTTTAAAGTGAGATTCTTGAACTGTTACACGCCTTGTGTGTTCAATAAAAAAAACAATGGGAATATGATTAAACATACCGGTTTAAACATTGATTAATCCCTTTAATTAATCGATATTTAATGATATCTGATATTTGACTATTTAACACAATAAATGTCTGCAAAGTGACATCTGGCAGTTGTACCACAATTTACATTTAAACTTCTTTTGATCCAAAGAAGATCGAGTACTGTATTTTGTGCAATTAAGTTTTCTTTCTTGCACGGTTGTGTAAGATACCAATCAAATGCTTTTAAATTATAAATGTTTTCATTTACTATGTCTGTTAAAATTCCTAAATACTCATTTGTGTAAATATTGATACCTACAAACAAGTTATTCCTCAATTAAAAGAAGTCAAACACAGAAATGTATTTATATTTACACATGCGTTTGTTTCAGGTGCCTGCTTGATTATTTTCTGTAAAACTAATTACGCAAGCGTTATCAGGGACTGTTCGAAATAACAAAAATATGTTTTGCCTTCTTGCAGATAATTTTCTGGAAAAAGCAATGTAATTATAAGATATCTTGGAGAGAACTGTTTAAGACGGTTTTCTATAACTTTGAATTAATATTGCTACATATTATTTAAAATGTTTCGCCTTTCATAAAATGATCACATGCATCTTTACATATTTCAATGTCAATCATGCTGATTAGGTTTATAAATATGTCAAAAAATCTTAGTTACTATTAATCTGGAAAATTAAAGTCAGAAAAGCGTATTTGTGGATGATTATGTCTTTGTACTAGTTCCGGTCGATGCAAATATTTTAGTAAGACAAATAAATTTCAAGAATATCCTTGAGCTAACTTCAAATAGGAAACATCTTGCATAGTCAAGTAAACTATGAATCTTGTCCACCATCAACAACAAATTCGCGTCTCCTATTTCAGAAAAGGAAAACTAAAATTCTAATTACGTCATTCTTACGGCATTGGCATGGAGGTACATCCCCGATGAGGAAATAATTACATTAGTCAAGAGAACGGTTAATTGCCATCTTTACATCTTGCAGTTTCTTAATGAAATATAATTATTTGCTGTAATTAAAACAGTGGTGAAACATCTAAAAACAATATAATTAATCTTCTTATCCAATACAGAAATAAACCGTAACGAAGTAATTTATTGAAATTTCGTTAATGATCTAAAATTCACTGATATTTTAACAAACCAATACTTTTTTCCTAATTATTTCATTAATGTTGGTGTAAATTGTTTTACATGTGCTATACTAATTTAAGTTTAATTTTGACAAACCTACAGCACGAATTTAGTCCAACAATCAAGCTTTTCATGATACGGGCGGTACTCTTTATTCAACTTTTAAAATGTTTCTTTTGTTAATTAGTTACTATTGCTAAAACGTTCTACAACGTTGGCAACCTCCGCATGTGAAACAGTGAAGATCTGTGTCCCAGTACTGACATAGACTTAAGAAAATGGATAGTAGTAGAACCAATTTTAAAATAATCCAGTATTGTGATTCTAAAGGAACTAATTAATGTAGAAACTAACAGTATGTTTTAAGAAGCACTTACATTTGATGAACTTACAACATTTATTACACAATTGTACAGCCTTATATCAAGAGACTTTGTCGGTTTAATGAATATTTTTACTATTGAATGGGATACAAGTATAAAAAATGTAACAGGTCCGTCCGGTAAAGGCAAGAATATACTTCATACATATAAGCACTTTAAAAACAATTATTGACTAGAAAATAATGTTGCATGTACATTCATACCAAGAAAACACATAACAGCAATAGCTTTGTTTAGATTTGGTGTAGACTGGAAGATAAGAAAATTTACCAGAAGAGCAACGTGAATGCCCTATTTGTAAAAATGGCGTTGAAAGTAAAATGCATGTCTTATTTTATTTCTCTTGTATGAAAATACTAGAAATGACATGATAAATAAAGCTTGCAATTTTTATAGAAATTTCAAGGATTTATCTGATTAAGATAAGCTGAACTATGTATTGTCTTATGAACACATGTTAAAAACCAGTAGTAAAACATGTCATATGATATTGCAAGCCAGAACCGACTTTCTATATAGATAAACTTATATTAATATTCAAATACTTAAATAAAAGCATGGTAAATAGTTAAATTCTGCTCAAAATGTTTTGCATGATATTATATATGAGAACCAAATTTGTGTATATATAACAAAGATGATATACGAATAGAAAATATTTAAAACTCATTAATACCTTTGCTTCTATATTAGCCATTTTTATGGAGTTTATAAGTCTAAAATAGGAAGTAGGAATCTTACTGTTTCAGAATTATACTACTTGTCTGATTATTATAAATATACATATGTTGATCAGAGTTTGAATATTTCTTTAAACATAAACTTGTGAACTTCTTAAAATGTAAAATATAGTTTAAAGTGTATTATAGTTTTAAGGACAAGGGTACAAAATCATTGCTAATCAGTTCACAACTGATCTGATAAGGGATGATATCTGATTTGTTTGTAATCTTTCCTATAATGCACACTAGAACAACATTTACAAATTTCAGTTTCTTAAGATTTATGTGTGTTTTATGGCAGTTAATTGCTAAATCAAATATGATATGAAGCCTTTTTGTCTGAGACAATTTGAGCTAACTGATCTTGTTGGTATCAATAAATACAAGTGTTGTTTAACACTGGATTATGTACTGCCATTGGAAAATTAAGTGGTCAAAACTTTAAATAGGTCTCTATGTGTTATTTCATCAGAACAGAACTATGTTAGTTAAAGAATTCAAGAATTAAAGAAGTTTATGCTTAACTTGTTATCCAAAAGGAAGAGTGAAATATTTCTTTTCTTATGAATTATATGATAGTATTTTATCATGTTAAAGTAATGAAAAGTGTTTCAATAAATATGTATATATTGGCTTTTACGTGTAAATGCTATGTAATTTTTAATATGTATATTGTAATGTTATATGTAAAAATGAGACAATAAACTAATATTTTTCTATATTATAAATTCCTTAAAAAACATGTTTCACATAAATATTGATCAAAATTTCTGTCCGCAATTATTATGTCCTACTTTTTATTTGTAACTTACGTTTGAAAATGTACACATTTACTGACAGTTTTGTTGGTTCATCCCGATTTGATATTTTCAGTATATATTGCATATTTTGTAGAACCCCAGTGCCTTCATATACCATCTATGACAGCATATATTTACTTTTCAATTTAGAGTACATTAAAAATAACAAACAGACAATATATAATTAAATAAACGCGTTGATTATTTTACTTTCTTTGCTTGCTCTGCAGTGTTTTATTTTTGACTTATAATGTTAACAGTTTCCCCGTTCTTCACTTCAGTGTTGTTTTATAGATATTGTTGAGTGTTGAAGACTGAATACAACTTAAGCCGGTGATAGGGGGCGTTCGATATGTTACACTTTTTCATTATCTCTTATAAACGGACTCAAACAAAACGAGTCTGCAATTGTAATACAAGATTGTTGTTTACATTCCTTCCAGACTTTTAGAGACAGAATCACTTTTATTGAAAACATATGAATTTATATTGATTTCATTTATAATTTCTAATATATTTTTTTCAGTTCCAAAAAGTTTATTACCTTTTGGACGTGCTTTACAAAAGGTCCAACTTTGGATTTATTTACATCGATGCCGCAATGTAATGTAAATTGATTTAAATCATTTTGAAGATCATCTTTATTTTCACTGAATATCACGCCTGTTTAATATGGAGATAGACATGTACAACTTCAATAACTGTATCTATTGAAACTCAGTGAATATCTCTTTAATACGCTTTACTGCACTAGAAAGACGTGACCAATTACGTATCCGGTACGAGCCGTTCTTAAGTGTCCTATAAAATAGAAAAATATAAGAATCTTTAAAGAAAGTCCAAAACAGCAAAACAATTGAAAATGTTGCAGGCTCGGTTAGATTGAGCCAGTTCATGGACGGTACTGTCAAGTGCCATCCACGCCCATATGTCGCATTTAGATATCTTCATACCACATGGATACGAAGCGCGATTTTCGGTAAAAGAAATAGCGACATGTACTGGAATATCAGATTGTAAAACGAAAAAGTGTGCTGGTTAGAGGGCCTGCGCTAAATAGATACCCATTTTGCTGACTGAACAGCAAAGAGGCAACATTTTACGCAGTAACCTTGACAAGAAACATATTCTGCGATAGTCAGGTTATGTCTAACCTACTAATAGGTCACTAACCTTGGGTATACATGTTTTAAAAAAACACGCCTGATATTAAATACATGTAGTTGAAGCGGAATACCTAATGCCAAGAGAAAACCTTAAATTCGAAAAATATATTTTAACATAATCTTAGTAAATTCTACTTGACCACAATACAAGTTCATGTGTGTTGTTCATGTGGCATACATTATACAGGATTGTGGCATGGAAAGAAGCAAACGGGTTTATCAATTAGACAAGATGTTGAAAGATTTGTCTTATACACTACAATGCCCTATTTTCTGGCTACGAAAGAAGTTGCATATAGACTCAAAACAAGTTTCAACGGTAAAGTAGTTCTCAAGAAGTACCATTAACCGATGATACAAAAGTAAATACAATGTGTTCGTACAGTGTGAAAACTTGCAAAAGGAATATGATAAAGAATTGTCTAAAAATCCAACCCCATTGAGACCATTATATAGGAAACTCGTAGTATATTTAATATTTAATATGTTATCGCTGCCATCATTCGACTTGATTAGTTAAGATTAATTTAAGAAATAGTATCCACATATTTTTATTGTCCACATTAGTTCGGAGATAATTAATGTCTTTTTGCAATTTTAAATTGACCACTTCTCAGTTTTATATCTGTTGTATACAACAAGCTAATTTACTGCTTACCATAATATAAGAACTTGTATAAAACAATATATCATGTTTAGAGATAATATCTCCATAGCTGCACTCATACTTTAAGGACATTGTAGGATCGGGTGAATTTAAAAGCACGACAGTTTGCACACTAAATTTATATCGGAGATTCATAAAGTGTCGCGTCTATATATTTGGTAACATAATTATCGGAACGGCGATAAAATGTGCAATAAATACAACATAAAAACATCATAACTTTACTTCAAAAGTAAAATGGGGGAATTAATATACCTCCGCGAGACAAAATGCACTCGAGGTCTTACCAATAAAATGTTAATTAAATTGCTGATTCTTGCATACAATAATTAAAGGAAGAAAAATGAAGCCATGAGTGATTTCAAATGGAAATGAACTCAATTTGTACAAATATAAAATCGTAATTTATATGTAATGGGTGCACATTGTGTTGCACGAATGCAATTGTATAATGTTTTATGATTGGATGGATGTCATATTTAAACAGAAAATACATATCTAAACGTTTGATTTTAGAAATATTGGCGAGCATAATGAAGTGTTTTGCTGTACCTTAAAATAATAGCCATTTGATTGCATAATGACAGAGTGAATTTGGAAATATCGATTTTGATCATATTTTTACACAATATAACATATTTCATATTAATTATTGTTCTAATAAAGCTGCAGAAACATTTATATTTGCTGCTACTGATAAATTTTCAGTTCTTTTTATTATATATTTTCATTGCTAACACAATTATATATAAATATAAAACTATGTCTATATTTATGTAAATGATGAATGTTTCACCTGAGCAAATATTTGTTAAAGTTGCTTACCAGCTGCAGAAATTTCTAGCATGACGGATAGCTGCATTATTGAAAACATTTTAGAAGTCCGTTGTGAAATATGATGCTTTCAGCAATCGTAACAATGTTTTCTTTGCACCCGTGCTTACATTTTTACGATTCGTGTTATGTTGTACATACATATAAATGTTTCTGGTACGTAAATATCGTTCCATTTATATAGAAGATAAAACAAACTTTCGTGTTTTCTTTTCTCTTAAACAATTAACATATGACTGAAAAAAGTCTCTTGTAAATTCTGCAATATATTTGCTTCACTTCATGTCTTACTAGTTTAAAATTTAAATCGTTAAGATCATGTTACTTCTATAAAAGGGAATTAACTAATATAAAAAGGGTGTAAAAGAAGATATATATTAAATTATGAAAGGGTTCACTTCTGTGTTGTTATATTTTTCTGGTCCTTCGGGATCATTGATGACAGCACTATTAAGTGTTGAGAATTGAGTACCGCTCAAGCCGGTGCTAGGGGGCGTGAGGGATGTTGCACTTATTCATTATCCCTCATGTACAGCCTAAATCAAACCGAGTCTGCAATTGTCTTGTAATTTTGTTGTGATTAATGCTTCCGAGGGATCAGTTTGTTTCCAGGTTGTTAGTTACACTGATGGTAAAGAACACATTGTCACTATTCAGCCTAACATCACAGGTACAACTTCATCCTTTACAGACCTTGGTCAAAAGTAATGTAGAAACATAATCTCATTATACTGTTTTACTACCTAATTCAATATTTCAGTCAAATAAAGACTTCTCTACACAATCAATATTGCAAATAGGCTGTTAACTACAAAAATGAAGTCATGTGTAAAAGGCTTATAATTATTTAAAGCAAATTAATGAACTATTATGTATCTTGACATCAACCCATTGTTTAGTACAGTATAATCACTTGATATGTAACATGCATTTCAACCATTTGCACATTTCTAGGAGAATCATTTTTATATATATCAAATGATTTGAGAGTGTTTAAATAAGATTATAGCTTCCGACACAATCGAACTTAAATAAATTCGTATATACTAAAATGATTAAAATGTCAACAAATTTTGAAAATTCAGGCATGATGAAAACTAATGTACAATAACTTAAAAAACCATTAATCATACTAAAACGCTACGTTTTAGTATGGTATTTTAATAGTCTATGCATTTAAAATTACCCATATATGTAAAATACGAAAATACATTTGTTATTTAAATATCTTTAAAAAGATATGCATCGGATGCGATCAAGTAAACTGATGTACAATACAATAAAAGTTAGAGTTTATTCTGTTGTAAAATATTTTTATTCTGTTGTTATGAGAAATGATTATTGTTCAGAAATTTATCGTTTCATACTGGGGGAAAGGGTAATCAAATTGACATTAATACTGCAAATATGCGTTACTATTAAATTCAAAATTGCAGGCATGAGAGTAATTATGGTAATTATTAGAGAAACCTTATTTCCAAATCAAAACCGGTTGATTCATGGCAAGATTTCGGTGTGTTTAAAATCTAAATTTTTGTAACAAATTCTAGATAAGATAATTTGCCAGATTTTGAGGATGATAAATTCTGTAAGATTTTCCTTCTCAATAACAAGATTGTTTATATTCATTGTATAATTTTGATATCACTCAGTGCAGTGAATTTGGATTCCTTTTATCTATAAACAGATGCATAGATAATTTACAACATTCCGGAAATTATTCTAAGGCTCTGTTGCAACTTTTGTGCACGCTTTGTTGTTTATATCAAAACAATGAAAAAGGACAAAAAAGAAGAAAAGTTCGATACAAATATTTTGTTTCAACCAATTACACTTGATATAGAACTAAATGAAATGTGTACTGCTGAAATAATTATATTTAATATATTTTTAAGCATAGTAATACATGTAAGGGATGCAGTAAAACAGGTTCTATGCGAGTTAGTTCAAGCTACATGTTTCTCTGTTTTGTACTTTGGTCATTAACTTCCAATTTTATGTCTGTCTGCAGTTTATTTCTTCATCATTTGCTGTATTATTTATGTTCCTTTTATAGTCAACTTCACACGCATTGTCTGCCGCTGTTATGGCGAGATAACTACTTCAATTTTCATATTTGATGAGTTATTAAAGAGAGCGTTTTTCCAACTTTTTTGTGAAAATTGCTTTTTGTTGTTGAATGTACAAAGATAGTGACCTTTTATTGGTCCACTGATAACAGACTTGCAAATGTTATGAATAATGTATTTACATTTGAGTTGTTTGTTGTTTTGCTTTGTTATGATAATGAAACTAAGCATCAAAAGTAAACATAAAACTAAAACATAGTTTTCTAATTGCTGTACAACTGGCTGTGTTTCATTGACGTGCTTTGTGGATATAAAAACTGCATAAGCAACATATTCGTGTCTCGTACATTATGAAGTATGTTAAGAATATTTTACAGTGATATTAATAGTAAAACACCTCTCCCTATTTTGAAGTTTGACTGTTAACTTTAGCCAATGCTTTCAAAAATGTTATAAAAACTGATAAATAAATTTAGTAGCAAAAATTCCTTTAACTTATGACTATTCAAGTTTTCGTTGCAAAACAATATAAATATAATACAATAAATGATAAAAAAGTTAAAATTATAACAAACCTATTTTAAATTTTTGTTATTTATTTTACCTCTACCGGTTTCACAATATCACCATAGGTTTTGTTATTACATAATTTTTACTGTTTTATTTTTCTCTCAGTGTGGGACATTTGTCCGCACATTTTCTTTATGCTATATATGATAAGAAATAGACACAAGTATTTGCTTACCCGCCATTGTAATTGATGTAGATTGGTAAACCCATCCCTTTTCTACGGGTCCGTTTACTTTGAAGTTTGAGGAAGTTTTTGTATGGCACATACTTCGTCTTTTCAAAATTGAATTTTAATCCATTTGAAGTCTGTAAAGTGTACAACATTTTATCAACATACTCATTTGTGATATTCAAATTTTCAGCCGTCTCCAAGTCAGGCTGCTTTGTCAATCTTTGGTTAGGCTGTTCAAAATTTGGATTTTCCTGATTAATACTGTCACTTTGGTCTTTTATATCTTCGTTGGTTTCATTTATTAACGTTTTGATTTCCAGGGGGCGTTTACCCATTTCAGGACTAATGTTTTCGCTAGTATAGTTACTTTTATTAAGTCGTTTCCTAAATGTGAAGATATGTGCCATATTTTCGGTTTCATCAAAGTTTCTCCTTCCATGTTCGATGTCCGGATATCTTTGAGTTCTGTCATGAAGAGTAGGAAGTTGGTTGAGGGTAAGAAATATTGCACAGAAAGACAGAGCTCCGCAAATCAGTATAGCTGCGCGGATTTTCAGTTTCATATTATCAACACACACACTCATTTATATTTTCTCCTTCACATTTCACCATTTGTTCAACACTACTCTTTCATTGATTCGATCATCTTTCGTCTGGAAATAAACATGTCCATACATTGCAATATGAAATAACCTTTTCTTTTAATCTGAAACTTCTTTAAAAAAAACACTATAATCTAATCATCATTTTCGTTTCTACCAACGTTCATGTATTCCAATGTTATTCTCTTTATGTCTGTTGAACTCTGTATCTTAAAGCGCCAACATCACAATCTGCAATACAACAAGAGTTAAGGTAAAGTGAAAAATACGATAACAAAAGTTTATTATGAGTGATTACTCTTCAAATATTACGTCCGATCTCTGCAATTAACAAATGGAGAGGTATGGAGAATTAACTAAATGAAAGGATTCGGAACGAGAGTGTCAAACAATATGGAATTGTAATCAATCAGCGGAAAGTAGTATCGTCTGCAGCAAGTGAACGGAACATAGCACTGCGCATGCCCCAGGTGGGCAGGCGATGACAAATCTGAGATGATCCTGATTGGATGCAGATGATTGTTGCATATAATGTATTAGTTCCGTTCTGCATATTTTAAGATATTCTAAAACTAAATTTTTATTCTGAATAGACTTTATTTAATATTGACATTTTATAAGCATGTCTAACAAGAATAAGTAATACTATTTTACTTCTTATGAAGGCAATGAAAATGTTCTAATTGTGTATATAACATTGATGCAGGTATTTCCCCCAAGTTCATTTACATAAAATAATTATATACATTTTATTTAAATGGTCAAAATACTTCCTTTGAGTTCAATAACGGATTTGTATTTCAAAGAACACAAAGAACATTGGAGTAATTGTATGATACATAAAAAGGATTATTTGAATCCTAGGTAATTAGTAAGTGACTAACATTTTATAATGATTGTCATATCTTATGGCTATAAATGTCTCATTTCCTACCAGACGAGCATTGATATTTACTCATATGTGTATGTTTTATGCCTGACATTTGAATATATGCCCAGTTTGACATTAACACTCCTTCTATAGCTGTCAAGTTATTTCATACTAATAGATATAATAGTTACTTTATATCTAATTAATGTATATTATTAAATATATTAATTGGTTTGACATATCAATTTAAGGAACTGAAATAATCTATATCTGAAAGTACAAAATATATTGCTGCAGAACACATCATTCCGACGACGTTTTTGAAATTAGGTTTCAACCATGCTTTTCTAAGAAGGCAAAATGACATCTTAAAGTATTTCTGATTATTGTTAGCCTTGTTGGCAGAAGGAATAATGGACAGTTCATCAAGGCTTAATCCTATGATTTACAGAAGCCAACTAGTGTTAATGGGTCGCCCCTAGTAACAGCAACTTCATTACCATCTTCATCTCTAGCTCGACAAATCTAATCACAGAAATCGTAGAATTCTATGGGATTTTAAAAGTTGTTCTTGATTCAGAAAGCCATTTTGTCCTGTGGGGTAGGATAATAATGTAGAACTTAAAACCAAAACAAACGCACCTTTACAATTGCCTACTAAGCAAAAACAACTTAATAAGCAGTGTTTATTTAAAACAAAAATACAAACAAATAATCGTATATGAGTTTAAATATTACGAACACGCACATATAAAAAAAGATTTTAGACTGAATAAATCTCAATATATTCACTCTATAAGATTTATTCTTTCTTATTCATTATATGTTTGTTTGTTTGTTTTAGATAAGATTATATGTGTATATAATTATATTAAAGAAACTTTAATCATTTAGTGATACTTAGGTTATTGATACTTACACGTACTTATATACATAAATGTATTTCTAACCTATGAAGCTTCTCTAACAATTCAACATCTTCTTTCTAATCATCCGGAAATATATGCGTTCATCAAAGATGTAAATTTAACAAAACTCAAACACCGTTATTACTTACTAATATTGTCAATTGCGGTTTTCAAATTGTTACTGAGGAAAAGGTCTTGAACAAATTGAAAAGGCGACGGAATAAATAAGCCACGACCGCCTACTGTCCGCAAATTAATCAGTCACTAAATTACAGAAGTTGCGCGAGACAAATTAAGTTAGGGACTTTCGATGACATTGATACCGAAATTCTTATTTCTATTTGAATATATGAATGAAATTATTCATATGATTGGAACAACCATTCTAATCATTTATGTAATGCTGGAATTGTTCATTTATGACATTGACAAAACTGAAGATTTTCAAGAGTATGTTTATATGGTTTCTTCAGCCGTATATTCGTCAAAAATTATTCCGGTATTTTATGTTATAAAACAAATAAGTATAAGTTACAACAGAAAACAAAACACCTAAAAATGCGTCTAGTTTCGATCAGAGATAGCTTTTGAGTAAAGACATGGCACCTTACATGGTTGATTAAATGCTACATTACTTTAAGGATCGTAATAATTCTCCATTGGCTTGAAACCGACAATTACCCTTAAGGAATTTTATAATATAAGACAAGGCAAGCAGTCAACATTCGTCTAGTTATTGTTCAACAGTGTAAGATCAAAGCTACATTTCAACACCAGGATATTTTAAACAATAGTGATATGAAGCTTTTAAATGAAATTGACGTTATTCTGTAGCAATATATTTATTCGAATAGTGGATAAAATGACAATTTGCTGACCGAGGAGACAAGAAACATCAGGTACAAGAAAAGAAAAACAGTTGGTCTAATCATCTGACTGTACAAATAAAAATGTGCCTGAATTGATAATTTTTATGTTTGTGTTAATGTGAGTCAACAGCATTAATACGTATTTTAATGTTGTATTTTTGTCTAGATATTGGAAGCACACAAATGTACATGTATATGTTATTATATATTATTTTGGAACGTTTCTCGTCTAAAACAGCTAAAATATGATATGGATAATTTCTTCATAAATTGAAAATGTGACGGAATGAAAAAGCCAAAGTCGCCCACGCCTTTCCACAACTAATCAGTCTCTTATAAATTTTATTACAAAAATGCATATAGAAATAGCAAGTAAATCAACAAGATATGGTGTCATCGCAGGAAAACGTTTCTCTATCTTGAAATTCTAGCAATTTCATGGGAAAAAGAATTATTTTTTTTTCTTTACGGCATGGATCGTATTTTCAATACAATGTATTACAATAGTACATTCATAATTTCATAGATTTTGTACCTTAAGCGCGAAAATTTAAGTATTTTTGTAGATAATCCTTTAAAAAATGATTCCACTATTTCAGCTTGAGATAGAAATGATATGTAACAATGCCTTATGAAATACTACAATCCTTACAGTAGATGATCGTTATAATTTTTCAAGAATTTAAAGCGTAAAAGCATAAAGCAATTAACTCTGAGGACATTTTATTGAATAAGAAACAACGGATGCAATCAAGCAAGTTCTTTATATATATATAATCAATGATAGCTTATGTAAGAGATTTCTCAATCATTAAACCATTACGATATCCGTGTCTTGTAACTACGGATGTAATAAAGCATCTTATTTAAAGATATTTGTCAACTAATATGCGCCACAAATGCTTTATATTGCAGAGACATTGGTACAGGATGTCGGCCCTCGACGAATTTGTCATTTCAATACTGTATATTATCACTTAAAACGAAAAAGGAATCGTATAAGACAGTATTCTATATGAAAATAAATTGTGTGCATTTTTTTGTGATCAGTCTTGTCCCGAAATAATAAATAAGTGAACTTAAAATTTACTATAATTGTATAGCCGAAAACATAAATAGTAGTTTTTAGGTTAGTACTTTCAGCTGAAGTCCCTTCCAATTAAAATGTCAAAGAAAAGAAAAGTTTTAAGTATCTGTTTATTATGTGATAAACATTTTCTTGGGAATCAAAAACGATCTAAAAAAAGAGAAATTACTCGAAGCTATAATATATTTAACACACATGGTTTATTAAAGGGTTTCGTAGTAATTGCGTAAACGGTATTGAATTTGGATTTCACTAAGTTTAAAATGCATTGTTTACGCTGACATAAGAAGATGTATATCCCGAGATATTTTTATATTCACAGGAATATGATTACATGTATTATAGTGATACAAAGCAATGATATGGAACTTTTAAAACACTGGCTTTGTATTCTTATTAGGCCTTCAAATTCAGAAATTTTCTTTTGAAGTAAAACACAATATTCTGTTCTGTTGCATTAGTTCAATATCTGCTTTAATGTCTGTAAGAATGCCATATACCATTCATATATTACAATGTAAAACTGTTTACAATACGAAGAGTTGTCACAAAAAAACAGAAGCTAACTCTTATACAAAAAGTAGACATAAGTACCTCATTTCTGGCATTTCTATCGCATTTTTACCCGTATGTAAGCTCATTTAAGAAAAACAATCTTGGAACTATTTTTTTAAATATTGAACTCATAAAAAACATCTTGACCGAAATCAACAAAAGTGATGTATCTGTCATAAAATTGCCCAAAAGCAATTCAATTTCCTTGTAAACGATGATAATTCACGGACATTGAATTGGATTAAACAACGCATTAGACAAATAACTTTTCTGACTTGTTATTATATTCCCAAATCATCATCCTGTATTTCCCATGTTACCTAATTTGTCCCTTTTCACTTAAACTCATCACTAAATGACTTACATAATGAATCAAAGTTACACTTCCTTCTAGGCTATCAAATTATCTACTTGTATAAGAAAGTTCATTTACACTTGCCTCGATTGTCTCACAATGTATATATCCAATATTTCCAATTGTGATAATCACTCAAGAGAGAAAAAATTGATTAGACAAGACAAAAGTGAACAAGTGAAACAACTTCCAAATATCGAATTTCTATCACATATGATAACTTCACATTTATAGAGGCTTGCTGCCTTCCAGAACGTATACTACAGAATGTCTCACAGTACAAACTATCCCGCAAAACTTTCTGCAAAATGGTTTCCAACATCTAAGATGTTGCCAGAAGGGAATTTCAAATAGTTGATATTAAAATACAAATTCCATATCTAATTAAAACAGCCTTGCTTCATAAAATACATATAGAATAACTTATGAATGTACTATGTATTATCACATATCCGATTCATAACCGTGTTGAGGACTCCAATTTAAAGAATCTATAATATATGTATACATGTATATATTAAAACAGTATACTAGTATTCTCTTTTAGAGATAATAGGAATAAATTATAAATACAAAATATCGAAAT